TAGATATCATAATTAGGGCAAAAATGTAGTGGACAATTTGGCATTTGTGTTATAAGAGTCTGCAGAGATCTTTTTATATTTGACCCACCTCAGATGTTTAAAGTCTATTTAATTCACTGTGCTGCCAAAAAGCATGTATACAAATACATCAATGGATTAATGAACTAGAGTATTAAAAGGCAGCCCTGGCCGGTTTGGCCCAGCGGTTAGAGCGTCAGCCTGCGGTCCAGAGAGACCCAGGTTCGGTTCCCGCTAAGGGCATGTACCTCGGTTGCAGTTTGTCCCCTGCCCTGGTCGGTTGTGTGGGTGGCAGCCACTCGATGTGTTCCTTTCACATCGATGTTTCTCTCTCTCTCTCTGTTCCTCTCTCTCCCTCCCACTCTACCTGAACAAAAAATGGAAAAATGTCCTCGGGTGAGGATTAAAAAAAAAAAAAAAAAAAGGCAGACATGCCGTTTTGACCAGTGGCTCAGTTGGTTGGAGTGTCTTCCAGTACACCGAAAGGTTACAGGTTCGATTCCCAGTCAGGGCACATACCTAGGTTGCAGGTTCTGCCTATTTAGGGTGTGTGTGGGAGGCAACACATTGATGTTTCTCTGTAACATCTCCCTCCCCTCCTTCTCTCCCTTCCTCTCTCTCTAAAATCATTTTAAGAAATCATATCCTCAGTGAGGATTCAAAAAAAATAGAGGCAGGCATGCCTGGTTTATTTCATTGAAGGTGTCTTTTGTATTATTTTATGATCCCATTTCTCTGCAATAAATTTTAGAAGTATGATATGAGCATATAAGTTTCTTTTTTTAAAAAATATGTTTTTATTGATTTTTTAGAGAGAGAGCGAGAGAAACATCCATTGGCTTTCTACTACATGACCCTGCCCTCACTCCCCAGCTGGGGATTGAGCCTGAAACCCTGGCATGTGCCCTGACCAGGACTTCTCAGTCCATGTGACTGTACTCCATCCACTGAGCCACACTGGCCAGGCATGTTTCTATTTGTGACTTGGTTTTTGAAGTAAAGTCCTTTTTGAGATTAAAATGAAACATAGCAAAGTTAAAATGATAGGGACTAGTTGAGAGGTTAGGCTGATTTGTGATATGTTTAGATTATAGAAAATTGGAAAAAAACATTTCTAACCTTAGTGTTCCTATACTAGAACTCAGTAAACCTAGTATTGTCTTTTAGGAACCCTGGTTTAATGAATAGGTAAGAATAACATATTTAGTATATTAAAGCACTAACTTAAGCAGTTGGTGTTTCAGCAGAAATTATAAGTTGACTGTAAATGGATAGTAAAATGCCTTGGAGATATACTTAACACTAATTGGTTGCTTGGGATTTTTTTCTTTTTTTTTTTTTTTAATCCTCACCCTAGGACATTTTTCCATTTTTTGTACAGATAGAGTGGGAGGGAGAGAGAGGAAGAGAGAGAGAGAAACATCGACGTGAAAGGGACACATCGAGTGGCTGCCACCCGCACAACCAACCAGGGCCGGGGACAAACTGCAACCGAGGTACATGCCCTTAGCGGGAACCGAACCCGGGTCTCTCCGGACCGCAGGTGGACGCTCTAACCGCTGAGCCAAACCGGCCAGGGCTTTCTTTTTTTTTTTTTTTTATCCTCACCCGAGGACATTTTTCCACTTTTTGTTCAGGTAGAGTGGGAGGGAGAGAGAGGAACAGAGAGAGAGAGAGAGAAACATCGATGTGAAAGGGACACATCGAGTGGCTGCCACCCGCACAACCGACCAGGGCCGGGGACAAACTGCAACCGAGGTACATGCCCTTAGCGGGAACCGAACCCGGTCTCTCCGGACCGCAGATGGACGCTCTAACCGCTGAGCCAAACCGGCCAGGGCTTTCTTTTTTTTTTTTTTTTTTTTTAGTAGATAGTGCAACCTCCTTTGGACCTCTGTTTACTTAACTTTAAAATAGATAGGGTGGCCCTGGCCATTTTGGATTAGTGGTTAGAGTGTCAGCTGGCATACCAGTGAGTTGGGGGTTCAATTCCAGTCAAGGGCATGTACCTCAGTTGCGGCTCCTTGTGGTTGTGGTTTGTTCCTGGCCCTCTTGGGTTGTGCAGGAGGCAACCAATCGATGTGGTTCTATCACATCAATGTTTCCCTCTGTCTCTCTCCCTCCCTCCCTCCCACTCTATCTGATAATAAGTGAAAAATATCCTTGGGTGAGGAATAAAATAAAAATAGGGTGAGCTAGATTATTGCTTCTTAAACTTTAATGTGAATGTAAATCACCTGGGTATTTTATTAAAATATAGGTTCTGATTTAGTGTCTGGGATGCTGGCCTGAGGATCTGCATTTCTAACAAGCTCACTGATGATACTGATTCTTACAGTTCACAGAGCATGCTTTGAGTAGGAAGGGGCTAGATGATTTCTCTATGTTCAACATAGAATTTAGCAAAATCTTACTAATTCGGTTGTAACATCTAAAACTGTAATAATGAGACAAAAGATAACATGAGCCCTGGCCGATTTGACTCAGCAGTTAGAGTGTTGCCCACCAACCAGAGGGTCGCAGGTTCAATTTCTGATCAAGGGCATGTACTGGGTTGCAGGTTCAATCCCCAGCACCAGTCCCAGCGTGTGCAGGAGGAAACCAATTGATGTGTCTCTTTCACTTCAGTGTTTCTTTTTGTCTCCCTCCTTCTCCCTTCCTTTTCCCTCCTCTCTCTCCCTCCCTCTCCTTCCCTCCTTCCCACTGTCCCTTGCACTCTCTCTAAAAATCAATGGAAAAAATATCCTCAGGTAAAGATTAACAACAATAACAAAAAAGATAACATGAAAAACTTAAAGCTTTTGGGTTAAAAAGGAACAGTAATCTGTTTGAACCAACACAAATAAAAAGGGAAGTTGTTCTAAGAATATGAGAGAATCTCACTAGTATTCATGAGCAAGAAATAATCTAGTCAGGCTTCAAGTGAAGTGGAAAGTTAGAAATCAAGTAGGTTAGCTATATTTCCCATTTCTGCGCTCTGGATTTCTGTCCCAACCTCCCCTCTTACATTTTCTGGTACATGTCTTTGGCTTGCTGTGTTATTGACTGTGGTCTACACTTTTTGACCATTCAGCCTCAAGACATTGACAATAATATCTATTTTTATTAGTTCAAATTCTCAGGAATGAATTATTTCTACTTGAATAAGATGTCCATCCTTGGGCAAGTTAGCCATCTGTTTGGGAGGGTGGAATATTGGAATCACATGGTAAGAATAGGGCCAATGAGATTAGCCTCTTTGGAGGAAGGATGGGCACAGGAAAGGTGCTAGTTTCCAAGAAGGAAGAGCCTTACTAGATCAGGCAATGACACCTGTCTGATATACCTTTATAAATGTTCATGAAGAATGATTTGCTAAATTTAATAGAGAACAAGCATGCTTAATAAAAGCATGTATAAAAGTTACATAGACAGTAGTTGGGTGGGGCATAGTGGTAGATCCATTCTCAGAGAACTGAAAATAATAAATCCTAATTATAGTATACATGTATTTTTTAAATCCCCTGAGTGTTATTAGTATATACATGGGATAATGGTAAATGTAGGCAACACACATCGAGTTGCCCATACCTTCCTCTTCCCCAGTGAGTACTAACTATTAAGCTGTCCTGGCACCCCACTATTGACTTCTTTCACTAAAAGCAGTCTGTTCATTCTGCTTGCTCTTTTCTGGATCTCATTTCATACTTTTATCTTGTATAAAATTTTAAAGATAACACTAAGATTACCTTGTAAGAAAATGCAAACAAATTCTCTTATTCTTAGAATCACAGACAGAGCAACCCAGAACATTTGAGGTTCAACTATATTCTGAAGCCCTTGGTGTAAAGAGAAAGTATAACATTCATCAGTTGGATTAGCACAGCGATTTTCAACTGGTGTGCCGCAAGAATTTTTAAAATGTGCAATTCAGGGGCACTGACCTCTTTTCCCTTAGATTGTTAAATAAAAAAATGAAAACAGCCAACACAATAGCCATCTGGTGTGAATGAATCAGAATTATATCTATTTTTTTGTCAATGCTGCAGATTTTTAGTAATTAGTTTATTTGTACCATTAGAAGGTTGAAATTTGCTGCATTGGGGAAACCTCTAGGTTCTTATGACAGTTGAAGTAATTGCTAGTTTACCTCCTTTTTCCTAAGAGGCCATTCTGTCTAGACTGTCAGCTCCCAATATAGATAATAAAATTGAAAGTCAGTGGTAGCACTTAGAGCAATACCTGTTTCCCCTCTTTGGTTTATTAACAAACCAATGCTACAAATTCTGGTGTTCTGATTTTCCATGCTTCTAAAATGGATATAGGCCAAAAAGTACTGTGTCTAATTTAATAAACGTCAAATATAGTACTTAAATTTTATTTTTTAAAATGTTTTTATTGATTTTTTAGAGAGAAAGGACGGGAAAGAGAAACATTGATGTGAGGGAGATACATTGATTGGCTGCCTCCTTCACATACCCTGATGGTAATCGAGCCTGAAACCCGGGCATGTGCTCTGACTGGGAATCAAACTGGAACCTCTCAGTCCGTGGCACAACGCTCAATTCACTGAGCCACACTGGCTGGGCTGTACTTAAATTTTAACGTTACAGCCCTGGCCAGTTTGGCTCAGCGGTTAGAGCGTTAGCCTGCTGTCCAGGGAGAGCCGAGTTTGGTTCCTGCTACGGGTGCATACCTCGGTTGCAGTTTTTCCTCAGCCCTGGTTGGTCGTGTGGGTGGCAGCCATTCGCTGTGTCCCCTTCACGTCGATGTTTCTCGCTCTCTTCTTCTCTCACCCTCCTACTCTATCTGAACAAAAAATGGAAAAATGTCCTCAGATGAGGATAAAAAATAAAATAAAATTTTAATGTTACAGTTTTTTGGGCAAAAGTGTGAACAGCTTTCTGGAAGGAAAGCCTTTAAGGAAATTATTAGCTGGCTTGACATAATGTGTTCCTTTATATTTATCTTAATTATAGCGTCTTTTTTGTTGTTTGTTTCAGAAAAAGCCTGTGCAGAAGCTGGATCAGCAAGAACGTCACTTCTTATATTGGTGTCCATTTTCTTATCTGCAGCTTTTGTAATGTTTTTGGTATACAAAAATTTTCCTCAGCTTAGTGAGTAAGTATGCTGAAAGAAACTAAAAATGTCTAGACATTTATAGAGATGAAAGTGGATTAAAAATTAAACTAATTTTAAGCAACAGAACTGTCATGGTGATTGTACATCAGTTCTCATGGCTTGTAACAAATTCATATTGATATTGATTGACACTGTTATTTATTTATTTATTTTATTTTTGTTCTTTTTTGTTGTTGTTGTTAATCCTCACCCAAGGATATTTTACCATTGATATTTAGAGAGAGTGGAAGGGAGAGAGAAAGGAAGAAACATTGATGTGAGAAAGACACGTTGATTGGTTGCCTCCCCTACAACCCTAACCGGGGCCGGGGATCAAACCTACAACCCAGGTTCATGCCCTTGACTGGGAATGGAACCAGAGACCCTTCCATCCATGGGCTGATACTCTATCCACTGAGCCAAGCCAGCCAGGGCTTGACCCTGTTATTTAAATACTTATTTCCAAATATGCCCCTTGAGTTTCTGTGCAAAGTTTTCCTAGCACTGCTCCTCTAAATAAGGCCTAATCTTTTAATGATCCTGCACATATATATGTTCTTACCCTCTCCTTCTCTTCTCCCTTCACTTTGCATACATATATACATATAAAACTAAGTTAAAATTTTGTGAAACAGGTGGTGGTTTCTGATATTTTCTAAACTATTTTATTTCATTTTTTAATGCTAGTAGACCAAGTAAATTTATTTTACAGTCCGTAATAGATACTGACCTGTGCCCAGCCAGTGTGGCTGAGTGAATTGAGAGTTCCGGGTTCAATTCCTGGTCAGGGCACATGCCTGGGTTTGGGGCTTGATCCCCACTAGGGGGCATGCAGGAGGCAGCTGATTAATGTTTCTCTCTCACAGTGCTGTTTCTCTCTCTCCCTTCCTCTGTCTCATAAAATAAAATAAATATTGATGTGCATTTTGAAAAATACTGATGATCTCTGCTTTTCCCTTTTCCATCACTTATTCTCTCTACCTTTCCTTGTGACCAGTTTTTGTCTTCTGTTCATCTCCTCACCCACTACATCTATGTCTCCTAGCACTTTCCCTCTTCCCTGTTTTATGGAAATAATATGGTCTTAATGGGTATTTTTCACAGTGAAATGGACCTATAAAAGACTACTGAAATGTAGTGAGACTTTCAGCCAGGGCCAACCTGATGTGGTAATGGATAGCAAAAGTGATTTCAAGGTATCAGGAAGTTACTATTTCCTCTAAGTTTCTTTCATTAACAATTTCTTATGCTTGAAAATTTGTAGTTAAACTTATTTATATTTTAATACTTTGATTTCTTACATCAGTGTAAATAAATGCCTTTGGGAAGATAGCAATGTTGCATTATGTTAATATCAGTATGATTGAATTTTAGGTTCTTTCTGGTTTTGATCAGAGAGTAGGAAATAGAAAACTATTTGAAAGGGAAATAATATAGAGTATAGATTAAAGTTGTCTTTGTTCTCAATCTGGTTTAAGAATTACATCACATGGCCCTGGCCGGTTTGGCTTAGCAGTTAGAGTGTCGGCCTGCGGTCCCGAGAGACCCGGGTTCAATTTCCGCTAAGGGCACGTACCTCGGTTGCAGTTTGTCCCCGGCCCTGGTTGGTCGTGCCTGTGGCAGCCACTCGATGTGTCCCTTTCACATTGATGTTTCTCTCTCTCTCTCCCTCTCTCTCCCTTCCACTCTATCTGAACAAAAAATGGAAAAATGTCCTCAGGAGAGGATTAAAAAGAATTACATCACATGTATATAGTAATGTGTTGTTATAAACCTGTTATAATTCTGCTTGTTTCTTTCTGTTTGTGTTGTGTTGTGTTGTGTGTGCGTGTGTGTTTGCATGCACATGCCAATAAAGAGCTGTTTCAGTTTTTATATTTATAATGAGAAAACCCATTTTAGTTTACGTGCTATTTTTATAGGACTTAGCATTCTATCATTGTTCTGCAAGGTCAGTTAAATTTTATCATGTAAACAAATGGGCACAATATACATTAAATGCAAAGGTGATTATTTGAGGCTTTTATAAGCAATAAATCATTCAATTCCAAACAAGAACCCAAATATAAAGTAAAATTAATAGAAAGGGGGAAAATGTTTTAAGCTTAAACATTTTTTTTTCTAATTATAGTTGACATACAATATTATATTAGTTTCAGGTGTACAGCATAGAAAATGTTTAAGTTTTCTGAACTCTGAGCTGGAATATTCCAGAAAAGGTATAAACTGTAAATTTAATAACGTTTTTAATTTCAGTTGTAATTGATTATTGACTTTAGCTTATCATGAGGATTACCCAAAATGATGTTAAATATGTTTTAAATATTGCTAACATTAGTGGTTTATTTCTTAAAATTTATAACAGTGTTGGAGCAAATGCTTTTACCCATCTAGTTTGGGTTACCTTGACCTTTCATATATAGAGAGTGCATGTCTGATTATATTATATTATTATTAAAGCATTAAAAATAATGTAGACTTTTGAAGTTAAAAATTATGAATTTAGTTTAATATACTATGGATCAAGACATCATTTTGGATAAAACTTCATGTTTTGAAGTTGACTGGTTATAATATTAATTATTTTGGCAAATTTCTTTAAAATTTTTTACGCTTTAATTTTATGTTTTTTAGAGAAGAAAGAGTGAATATGAAGGTTCCCAGAGATATGGATGATGCCAAGGCTCTAGGAAAAGTTTTATCCAAATATAAGGACACCTTTTATGTACAAGTACTTGTAGCTTATTTTGCTACATATATTTTGTATCCTTTTAACTGATAAACGTTTTCTATTTTTGTTCAAGAAAAGGTTTTTTAAAAGATCTGCTGCTTAGTTATACATAACTGTTTTTCCTTTTAAAAGTTGTTAATGCAGTGTAATAGTATTAAATAGAATATTGAAAAATTAAAATGCAAATCACTTTAATCCTATATCGTCAACTCAATTATTATTTCTGGATATTTATTACCAGTATTAGTGTATTCTGCTTATTTCACTTATAAATATTATTTTCCTCTGTATTATAAGATAAATATTTTATTTATGATTACTTTATTTGTTGCCTTAATTTAATTGATGATTTTGAATTAGTAGTCAGCATACCATAATTTTAAAATGTTCCCTTAGGTTTGAAGATATGATTTGTATTTAATTTTTTAGATAATTTTATTATGAATCTTTTTTTATTATATTTCTTTCATTTAATGGTTTTCATTGTAAAAAATATCCCAAGAGGATAATTATTCAAAGGATATGGACTTTTAAAAAAAATACTAAGTATTTATTTCTTTCTTTTATAGAAATATATGTTGTATTTTTAACTAGTCATGAAAACAGCTTTATTCTTTCTAAATATTTTCACGCTGCTTGTGCTACTAGTGATTAAACTTCTAATTTTTGGATTTGAACTTTAATTTCTAATTTTTGTATCTTTTATTCTAATTCATTCTATTTTTCAAATCTTCTCAGTTAATGAAAGACATTGTCTCTTATAGTTATGCTTTTTTTTTTAAATCCTCACCCGAGGATATTTTTCCATTTATCTTCAGATAGAAGGGGAAGGGGAGAGAGAGACACATCCATCTGAGAGACATATATCGATTGGTTGCTTCCTGCAGACCCCGACGAAGGTCAGGGACGAACTGCAACTGAGGTACGTGCCCTTCACTGGGATTGAACCTTTGACTCTGGTTCACAGGCTGACGCTCTAACCGCTGAGCCAAACTGGCCAGAGATAATTATGCTTTTTATACCAGCTTTTCTTTTCTTTTTTTTATACTTTTTTTATTTTTTAAAAAATGCTCCCTGGCCAGTTTGGGTCAGCAGTTAGAGCATCAGCTGGCGTCCAGAGAGACCCAGGTTCAGTTCCCGCAAAGGGCATGTACCTCAGTGGCAGTTTGTCCCCGGCCCTGGATGGGGTTGTGTGGGTGACAACCATCATTGTGTCCCTCTCACATCAATGTTTCTCTCTCTCTCTTCCTCCCTCTCTCCTTCCCACTCTGCCTGAAGATAAAAGCAAAAATGTCCCTGGGTGAGGATTAAAATAAAAAGTTTAGCCCTGGCCAGTTTGGCTCAGCGGTTAGAGCGTCAGCCTGCGGTCCGGAGAGACCCGGGTTTGGTTCCCGCTAAGGGCATGTACCTTGGTTGCAGTTTGTCCCCGGCCCTGGTTGGGTTGTGTGGGTGGCAGCCACTCGATGTGTCCCTTTCACGTCGATGTTTCTCTCTCTCGCTCTCCCTCTCACTCTATCTGAACAAAATATCGAAAAATGTCCTCGGGTGAGGATAAAAAAAAAAAAGTTTAGACAGAGAGGAAGGGAGAAAGAGGTAGAAACATTGATGAGAGAAAAACATTGATTGGCTGCTTCCTGCATGCTCCTTGCTGGGGATCCAGCACACAACCTGGGCATGTGCCCTCACCGGGAATTGAACCTGTGACCTCTGGGTGCATGGGACAGTGCTGAACTAACTGAGCCACACTGGCCAGAGCTAGATTTTTATAAGATAAAAAATTCATGTTTTATACATTTTCCTTTTATTTACACTTTTGAATCTTAAGCTGAATGTTAAAAGGATATTTTTTTAAAACTCAGTGAATAACAATAAAAAGAAAGACTTTATCTTAGGGCATATAACTAATATAGTGCTGATTAATAGAAATATAATACAAGCACCCTGGCTGGTTTGGCTCAGCGTTTAGAGCGTCGGCCTGCGGTTCAGAGAGACCCGGGTTCGGTTCCCACTAAGGGCACGTACCTCGGTTGCAGTTTGTCCCAGCCCTGGTCGGTCGTGCAGGTGGCAGCCACTCGATGTGTCCCTTTTACATCGATGTTTCTCTCTCTCTCTGTTCCTCTCTCTCCATCCCACTCTATCTGAACAAAATATGTCCTCGGGTGAGGAAAAAAATAAAAAGAAATATAATACAAGCCACATATAATTTAAAATTTGTTTTAGCTGGCACATTTGAAGGAGTAAAAAGAAACATCTGATAATTTGGAGTAGGCGCATTGCAATGTCTCTATAGCCATATATGGCTAGTGGCTATGTATTCAACATGCAGTACTAGTACCTTCATTTGTTTTTGTTTTTGTTTTTTTTTTTAGTGTTTTCTTTTTTTTTTTTTATCCTCACCCGAGAACATTTTTCCATTTTTTACTCAGATAGAGCGGGAAGGAGAGAGAGGAAGAGAGAGAAACATCGATGTGAAAGGGACACATCGAGTGGCCGCCACCCACACGACCCAACCAGGGCCGGGGACAAACTGCAGCCAAGGTACATGCCCTTAGCAGGAACCGAACCCGGGTCTCTGTGGACCGCAGGCTGATGCTCTAACCGCTGAGCCAAACCGGCCAGGGCGTAGTACCTTCATTTGTAATACCTAGTTTCAGACTCTTGTATATAAATAACTTTTTACATTATAGTTACTTATTTTATTTCTAACATTCTTTCATTTAACCAGCTTTTTAAAAATACTAATTGTATGCTAAGTACAACTTTAGTGTTTTGAGCATTCAAAAGTAGAACAACTATTTCCATCTGGAATATTGAGGAGTTATGGGTGAAGATGTGACAGTCATTTTAGAGCAAGTGTAGAGCAGAATTTACAAGCACAGAGCATGTTTAGGAAGTGATCAGTAATCCAGTTTAGGTGGAGTATAGGGTGTGAGCAGGAAAGGATTGAGAAATAAATTTAGGAAGATAGGCTAGAGCATGGGAGGACTGAGAAATAAATTTAGGAAGGTAGGCTAGATACTTTACTCAGATTTTATAGGGAATTTTGAGTACCAGGCTAAGGAATTTAGAATGTTCATTTGGTATTGGGTGTCAATTAGAACTTTTGAGATGTAGATGACATTAAAAGTGTCACCATAATCTTTCCCTGTTTGTTTCCCTAAGGCTAAAATCTTAGAGTAACTTAAAATGTTCTTTTATTATGGTAAGTTTAAAACATACACAGAAGAAGATGCCCCGCCCATTTTGCACAGTGGTTAGACTGTTGGCTCTAGGACCAAAGGGTTGCAGGTTTGATCCCTGGTCTCAGTCTGGGTCATGCCAGGGGACAACCAATTGATGTGCCCCTCTCACATTGATGATGTTTCTCTTTCTCTCTCTCTTTCCCTCCCTCCCTTCCACTATTTAAAAAAAAAAAAAAAAATCGATGGAAAAATATCTTTGGGTGGAGGATTAACAACAAAAAGTAGAGAAAGTCATATAATAAACTCCTATGTACCCATCACCCAGCTTCAGCAATTGTCAGTATTATGCCAGTCTTATTCTTGAAAGTTCTTTGACTTTGTATTGAGCTTTAAATATTCAAATAGAAGTATCCATACCCAAATGTCTATCAAAATAGGGGATTGGTTGAATAAACCATGTTAATAACTGGAGTATTGTATAGCTGTTAAAAAGGTTGAGAAGTGCCCAGCTAGTGTGGCTCAGTGGCTGAGCGTCAGCCCATGCACCAAGAGGTCATTAGTTCGATTCCCAGTCAAGGCATATGCCCAGGTTGTGGGCCAAATCCCTAGTGGGGGGCATGCAGGAGGCGGCCAATCGATGTTCTCTTTCATCGATGTTTCTGTCTCTCTCTTCCTCTCCCTTTCTCTCTAAAATCAATAAAGAAAAATAAAGGGGGGGGGATGAGAAGTATTTATATGTTGTTAATGCATTACCTTGAGGATATATTCTTAAGTGAAAAGAGAGATGAAACTGGGATAAAAGTAAATCTTTTCTAAATGTACTTTACTGTGCAGATTTGACTTTAGGATCAAGTAAATTGTTCACATAATTATAAAATCAGTTAATCAAAATGAAAAAGAAACAGGAACCTTAAAAATCTAAAGCAACCTCATACCCAGTAGGATGCGCACTATCCAAAAAACAGAAAATAACAAGTTTGGAAAAGGATATGGAAAAATTGAAACCTCTATCTATGCACTGTAGCTGGGCATGTAAAATTGTGCAGCTGCTATGGAATACATAGTCTTTCCTCAAAAAATTAAAAATGGAATTAACATATGATTGAACAGTTTCACTTCTGAGTATATAACCAAGAAGAATTGAAAGCAGCATCTTGAAGAAATATTTGCACATCAGTGTTCATAGTAGTGTTGTACAGGATAGCCAAAAAGTGAAAGCAACTCAAGGGATTTTTAAATGGATGAATAAATAAACAAAATGTAATATATACATACAGTAGAATGTTATTCAGCCTTAAGAAAAAAGTAAATTCTGACGCTACAACATGGATGAACCTTGAGGACATTCTGCTTAGTGAAATAATCCAGTTGCAAAAAGACATGCTGTAGCCCTGGCCAGTTTTGCTCAGTGGTTAGAACGTTGGCCTGTGGTCCAGAGAGACCCGGGTTCGGTTTCCGCTAGGGGCGCGTACCTTGGCTGCAGTTTGTCCCTGGCCCTGGTTGGGTCGTGCGGGTGGCAACCACTTGATGTGTCCCTTTCACGTCGATGTTTCTCTCTCTCTGTCGCTCTCCCTCTCACTCTGTCTGAACAAAAAATGGAAAAGTGTCCTCGGGTGAGGATAAAAAATAAAAAAGAATAGATCTGTTTTTTTTTTTAAAAAAGACATGCTGTATAATTCTGCATATATGAGGTACCTGGTGTAATCCAACTAATAGAGATTGAAAGTAAATGGATAGTTATCAGGCGCTGGGGACAGCAGGGAATGGGGAGTGTTGATTTAAGAGTTTTAATGGGCCCTGGCCAGTTTGGGTCAGCGGTTAGAGCATTGGTCCATGGACCGGAGAGTCCC